TTGCGCAATTTTCTTTTAAAGCATGTTATACCTTATTCAAATATAATTATCCTAACATTTTATACATATTTTTTCACATATCATTATTATGAATCAAATCCTTATGATACCATGTAATGTAATTAAGTCATTGTCATAATTTATATCTTATAACTTAGAGAATTATGTAATTAAAGAATAATTAGTTTTTCTTACCTTAATTTTCCAATCTTTTAGTTCAAATATTCTAAAAGATTTTTAAATTTAGAAAAAATCAGTTCTTACTCACATAAACATCAAATTAATAAGTTAAACATACCATAATACTCCTAAACTAATCAAAATTTATCTTACTTCATAAAAATCTACATGTAAGAGTCTTATACCTATATTCAAATCCTACTTCTAATTTATAAAATTACTCTAAAATGAGACAAAAAGAAACTTATTTTGTCTCAATTTTTTTATCAGGGAGAAATATTTCTTTTTAATCCTTTAGATCTAAAACAAATATGAGAGAATGGAAAAATTAAAAAGAAGTGTACCGAAGATTTGGGAAGAGATTATAATTTGATGATAATAAAGCAATTAAAGATTTTCTTTTATTTATAACTATTTTAACTTAAACCAGTAAAACTTCAAATTTTAATCCACTAAAACTATTTTCACTCTTACCTCAGTAACATTGGGTCCTTGCATAAAACACAAATAAAAAAAATTCTATAATAATTATATAAAAGCATACACAATAAAATTTATTAACACAAATTTCTATAATAATTATATAAAAATATACATAATAAAATTTATTATATCAATTATTCGACTTCTAACATAAAATTTCATATTTTTTATGTTTTCAAAATATTCAGTACAGAAAATATTATCTACAGTATTAATTTATCTTTTATTCGAATAAAAAAACAGTAAGTTAAGAATTAATATTTAGTTAAGTGTTAATATAACATATAATTTTTTATAGATTTACGATATACTTAAAAAAAGGAAGGTTAAGTTACGTTAAGGTGTTAAAAAAATTTATTTGATGGGCATATTCGAAAAAAAAAATTAGATCAAAACTCAATAAGGTTAATTTTTGTCTTACCCGTTTAATATATAATTTAAATAATCTTAGGTTAGTTCATCAACATATTTATTAGTAAGTTCATTTTATAAAATAATAATGTTTAAAAATAAAAATATACTTCAACTATATATATATATATATATATATATATATATATATATATATATATATATATATATAATTAATTAATTAATTTTCAACTGCAACCCCCAGTTTAAAAACAAGTCTACACACTTTTGGTGAAGGAGACTCTTAACTATTGTCCCCCCACTCTTGGAATGATACATGGCAATATATTATCTCTTATATATTCCGCGTATTATTTTTATAGATATTTAACAAATTTCTCACAACAATATCTAACTGTACTTTCTTTATATACTGATTTAAATCATCCGTCACTTAATTTAATATAAAAATAAAATTCAGTTAAATTTTTAGGTCGAATCAATTTTAATAAAAAAATAAAAATAATTTTGTTAATTTTTTTAATAAAAAGTATAATAATTATAATAATAATTTTGAGTATTATTTTTATAAAATTATTATTATTATTATTATTAAATTTATTATATATTAATTACATTATAAAAATATTATTTTATTAAATTTGATTATTATTTATCACAATTCGGTCAATGGTTGAATTTAAAATTACCGTTAAATCTACGCTTAGGTTCAAGAGAAAAAATGAGAGAAAGTAACAATTTCGAGAAACTAAAAATTCATTTCTTAATGAAAGAAAAAAATAATATATATATATATTATTTCTATTACAAAAATTTGGAAAAAAATAATAAAGAAGAAATATGATTAATTATATGTTTTGAGATAATCAATTATTTAAAATAAAATATTAATATTTTTTTAATTTTATTTTTCTTTTTAATTAAAATAATTAAATAATAAATAAATTTATTAAAATTAAAAATATTCATTTTATTTTTCACACGTTTCATCTCTTTTTTTATAATCCAACCACTCTTTCTCTTTATTTTATTTTTTTAGTTCTTTTCTTTTTTATTCATTTAATCCCAATAATTTCTTTTTGATATTTTTAAAATTGAATTTGTAGAAAATTTATTAATTTTTAAAAATTCAATAGTTAAAAATAGCTTTATATCATAATGAAGTTTTTATTATAAATTCAATATAGTTTATTTAGTCAAATATGTTTATTATGCAAATCGCGGACCCAAACCACCGATCTCATTCATTATGGCCGCTGGATCCTTAATGGTGCGCGTGCGGCACGTGTGAGTCGTTGTTGGATTCGCAGTCTCTTAAATTTGAAGTGTAGCGATAGTTTACCGGTAATGTTTTAGGTTTTGATCATAATACTTGATCTTGGGACTATTTTTATAATTTGTTATCTTTTCTTGGTTGGATTATGAGTTTTTAGATATAAAAAATACAGAGATCCAAAATATAGAACATTATTTCACATTTAAATGTTTGGACTATTGGAAAGAAAGTTTCAACTCATGATAACCCTATGAAGCCAAATTCGAAAATCAAATATAAAGAATCAATTAAAATGTAATTAAAGCGTTGAGTGATATAAATAAAATAATTACAGCTGATAAAATCTTTTTAACGCATAGTTTATTGAATATCAATAAAATTTTGATACACAACTGAGGAATTTGTGAAACGCATCGTTCTTAAAATAAACCACTTGCTATGGCATTATATTTGTGGGTGGTGTACGTAAAAATCAGAACTCAGCATCGTTGTTCCCACAGAATCAAGTCCCTCGCCAAACCAAACAGATAATATTTCAACTATTCCAACACGCAATATTTCTGCCATAATTGTGCTGTATGAGATTCCAATGTCACTTGTTCTATTCACAAACAGATATGAATTATTACAAACCGTACGTAGTGGTTAGAGTTACATGCAACAAAGAAATAGTGTGTATACCCATTAATCCATTTCATCCTCATTTTTTTTCTATTATTTAATCCATGTTTAAAATTTAGGATGTAGGAATAATACAAATTTGTCTTCATATCTTAATCCAACCTATCTTAATACGAGTTAGTGTTGAGATTCGTATGGTATGTATATTTTTTTTATAATATATAATATTATAATAAATATAAAAGCTTAAACTTTTATTTATTATATTTTAATATATAGAAATGTATTTAAATAAAAATTTATCCTAATATCATTTTCTTTTAAAATATATTTTTTTTACGAATATGTATAATTTCAGTAAATAAAATTAATTATACATTTTATTTTATTTTTGGCTTCAAACTTATTATTAAGATTTATCACTTATATGATCTAATCTTTTGCAAACATAGGATAATAACAATTTAAAGAAATATCCATGATAAGCTAATAACTCAATGATATATAATTTAATTTAAATGGTTCATAAAATGTATCCACATTATTCATCATTGTATAATGCAAACTCATGCCTTTATTTATGACATGATGGACATATAAGTTCATTATGAGATCACGTAAAGAAATATTTGATGATCTTATTTCACAGTTTTCTAAATGTTAAATACCAAAATACTCTCCTACGACTTCTTTGATCTAAGTCATAAAACTGTAATTTAATTCTCACAGTCTAATACTTTACATTAATATAATTTATTTAAAATATGAATTATAAAAAATAATTTTTAAAATATTTTATTTATTTATTAATATTTAAGAACGAATGAAAATATATTTATTTTCAACATTAAATACAACATTTGGTTAAAATACTTCAATCTATCATTTTTAATTTTGTTATTAATATTAATAACATCTAATAAGTAAACTAAATCATTTTAATATATGTATTTCATAGCATGACGATTGATTTTGTGTATCTGATTTCCGTTTTAATTTGTGTGTATATGATTTATTTCACAATATTACCAAGAAATGAGAATCAATTTAATTAAATTTAAAAATTATGTAACTTATATAATTCAATACCAAATTGAACAGTGTCTCAATTAAATTATTAATTGGACCTTAATGCAACCATATTTCACTGTTGACAAATTACATGCCACTATTTGACTATGTCTATCTCGTTACTTGCACATCCTTTGAATTGTTATGCGGTTATTATAATAAATTTGAGAAAAATATTTTTTTAAATTATTTTAGATTAAATATATATAATATTGAATAATACTATTATAAAAAAGTATTTATATTTCTACAAATTTTCTAATTTTTTAAGAAAAATCAACTCACAAATTAATCCCAATTAATTCATATAAATCATAATATGTTGAGCATAATTTTATCTACAATATATAATATAGAATTAATCACAATTAATTTATAAATATCATAATTTACACGATTTATTATCCATAATTTAAATTTTATCAATAATATTAGCAATAATAATTCATACTATATTTTAAATGATAAATTTAATCTTACATAACTAATATTTAATAGTTGACATAATTAGAATATATGTCAACCAATTATACTTATATTCTTTTTAATTAATAAATTTTTGAGTTTGAGTTATATGAGTGAAAAAAACTTAAGCCAATTGAAAAAAAAAAAAAATCCTATATAAAGTGGTAGTTAGGTTTTTAAAAATAATTTTTATAAAAGAACCATGAAAATTAATTTTTAAAATGAATTTGGTTACAAATGTATTTAGCCACCCAACTTATTCATACTGTTCCCACTTACCATCTAACTCCAAAATCCAAATTCCTTCTCACTCCTCTTTCCTCGTCTTCCCTTTCTTTATCCATTATGTTAGATGTTAGATCTCCCACGTTTATGCATTATTTTTAAGCACATATTTTCTAGGTATGATAGTTTATATATAAATATTTCATTCTTCTCATACTCGAGCACTTCACCAATCTTTGCATATACCTTTATTTCTTTAAAGCACTTTTCCTTTACCTTTACCTGCTATGACTCTTCAAAGGGATTGATGTTTAGACTTGATTTGCAAATCCGTCTCCTTTTCTTCTCCTTCTTACTGGGAAATCCTTTCCTTTCATTCGCTGGAATTGAAAAGGATGTATTTTAATCCGAACATTTCTTTCCGTTTTCCTCGATCTACAGTTTCTTAAAGCATGATTTTAGGTTGTTCTTTTGACAAGTTATTGTTTTTCATAGGGGTATTGCCTCTCTTTCTTTTCTTTTGGTTCTTGAGGAATGAGTTCATCTGGCTAGATTCCTCTACTAAAAGGGCCTCGTTTATCGAAATCGAACATAAATTTGCACATAAAATCTCTATTTTCCTTCTACCTTCTACTCTTGAGTTATTTTACGGTTATTATTTTTCACTCTACCTTTGTAAGTCTCTATGTATCATGTTGTTCCCTTTTTTTCCAGTTTCTCTTTGGACAATTTTCCTTAGATTTGCCTTTTCTCTGTGAAACTTGTGGCTTTTAATAAGTACTTTGGATGAGAGTTGCAATATGCTATATAGGTTCTATTTATACTTTGGTTTAGGAGCTATTGTAGCTAGCTATAGTTGCATGGACAGGTTGCCAGTCGTTATTTGCGGATGTAGCATCATCAAGATTCACATGCAAACGCAGGTGGGTGGGACTGTGATGCAATCAAAGTGCTGTGCCAACCAAGCCATAGGCCTTTTGGAAGTGAGAATCTTGATGATGCTGCATCAGCCATAAACGACTACTTTAAAAAGTTGGATAAGGACTATTCTAATCTGACTTGTGGGCAAAAAATATATAAAAATGGGAAAATGAGAAACTGTTGTTGGGGGATACACACATGACACAGCAAAGCCCCCCCTCAGACATGATCTGATCTGCGCGTTTAAACCAAGAGGCAACATTTCCCACTTTGCTATTTGTCGGTGTCAGGTGGGTTTTGGTGTTTTACCCTTTGGTTTCAATTTATGGTAGTACTAATTTTTTATTGGTACCTTAATGGATATAGGTATGGTCTTGCTAGCAGTGCTTCTGAGTTCTGTCTTTTTATTTATTTGTTTATTTATCTATAGTAGTTGTTGTTATTATTACAATAGTTGTAGCTAGTCTTACATTAATTAGCTCTTCTGTGTTTACAGACAATCCTAGGTTTTCAAGTATAGGCTATTTGGAGGCCGAGAGGAGCGGCTGTTTGGTCCTTTATGAGCTGACTTCACAGATCTATGATGAATATTCCTTTACAACAGAAATGCTGGGATCTAAATGGTGTCTTTTCAGTTTCTAAATATAGATGGAGATATGACTTTATCCAAATCTGGAGAGAATGTTAGAGACACAAGCACAGAGAAAGTTAAAATTAATATTTGGAATTTAGGGTGTACTCAGTAACAAGTGTTGATGCTCATTTTGAGACGGTAACTTTTACTTTTGATGAGAAATTTTGCCTTTAGTTAGATCTTACTATTTCATATCTGGAATGCTATGAAGCTATAACTTGTATAGTGAATACTGTAACCGATGTTCAAAATCCTAGTTAAAGCAGTTTCGTGCATATATAGAGTGAGTGATAGCGAGATTGGAAGGATTTATTGATTGCAACCCTTGTGATTTTGATTACTAGCCTTGTTAATAACTACATATTAGAAATACAGAAGAATTTAGTATATTTATATATATTTCTAGTAGTGGATATTGTTCCGGGTTGGTTTACATCTCAGAAATTGCGCAGATTATGGAAACTGGAAACTGGATTGGGAACATGGATTTACATGATCACAGACACATGGTGGACGTGTCTTAGTTCCATGGTCAAGGCTTTGGCTTTTGTATGAACTAATTAATAATCACTTGTAGCTCTGGTTGGTGGACCAAGGACTTCATACAAGTTGGACCCTCCAAGGTACCCTTTCTGTGGTAGAGATAGTTCAGTCCATCCATTACTATTGAAATAATACTCAAAGTTAAATGGTAGAACTTATATTATAAAAAAATAAAATAAAACAAATATATGCTGATAAATCTTCATTATTCATGATAGTGATCATTCAGTAAATTCAAGATCTTATCTCATGGAAATCTGTGTGCCCCCATCACTGTCCAACTCTTGGTTCACATATTCTCGCTGCTCCATCATTATGAATATTGTATGCACTATCTTTGCCCGAAACAGCTTGCCCTATTTCTTTGTATAGAGTGTTGTGGATCGTATATGCATAGGCCCACTGATCTTCTTGTTCTCTCTCTTCGTTGGTAAAAGCCACACAATTTTTGGGGCCTTTTTACATTGGCAGTTGATAAGGGTAGTCTCTCCTAAGCAATTAGGTCTCCTAGTCTCTTGTATGTATATACATATATTTGTATATATGATAATGCTGCTAATTAATATGGAGTACCAGTTTCATAGAGTACTTTGGTTCTTCTATGTTTATGAGAGAGAAAGACACAAAAACGAGTTTACCAAACCAGACTGAGTACATAAAATTACCTATGTACCTTTTCCTTGAATAATACTTAAAAAAGAGCATAAGAGAATGCTTGTGATCAATCTGTTTTTATTATTTAATGTTTGCCTATATTTATATTGAAAATGACAGACAGATAATGCACTTAGTACCTGCTTAATTTCAGGGAGCACATGGATCGTTTAAATCCTTGTTTGCAGGTGATCATTTAAATTGAAAGAACAGTTTCTTTTAATTTGGATCTTTTGCAAGTACCTATTACATGTACATGATTTTCTCCTTGTACTATTTTTCATTAGCCATTTCATTGCATCCCCCTACAAGCTGCATTTTGTTTGCTGAACTTGATAACTGATTGAGACTGTGTGATTGTTGTTTTGAAACAAAAACAATAAACAATAATAATAGAAAACAATAGAGTCAAGCAATAACGGGCATAAAAAATGTCTAATATGAGCCATGATGCCTTCATTCTAATTTGTTCTTGTCAATATTGCAATGTTTGAAACAATATACGTTTGCTATAAGTGTGTTTTTTTTTTCAGTTTTCTTAATTTTAACATTCAAGGGATACAATTGCGTTTTTTTATATCTGTCAATTAAAGTATTCAATACATAATATTTATTTTTGTTAATAAAATTATTTAATAAAAAAATCTATTATTTTATAAATTAAAAATATCAAAGCCAGTTAATATTCCTTAATCTTTAAATGTTGCATAGGATAAAATATTCATATATGGTACATGCATAACTGCTAGTTATTGCGTCTGGATCTCTATTTACATATACACTAGTAGTAATAACCGTCCACTATGTACTGTGTTGATCTTTTGCTTTCAATTTCTACTGGGATGTATATAATATGTACATTTCGTGAAATTTCTTGCTCCTTGCCTATTATTCAAACAACATATAAACTCAAGGTCAAATAAATTCCAAGAAAACATGAAAGTATTCCGTCAATTCTGAACTTCTGTTAACTCTACGAACTAATTTATACTCAGGCTTATAGAAAATTTGTTGATAAAATGCTGTGTTGATCAACATCATATATGACGATAGAACTTATTAAAACTCTTGTAGATATTTTTCTTTAAAAAAACAAAAGAAGAAAAAAAGAACGAGAACTTTTGAAAGCATATATGGGAAACCCTAAGATATGTATCACTTTTACAAAAGGAACCATATATCAATACATATGCTAATTGAAAAATTTTGCTCAAGACCTAATAGAACATGTTTTTGTACTTGGGCTATTGCTAAACAGCATCATTGATAAAAGAAATTATAAATATTAAATGGTTTAAAACTTATTTCTATCAAATTTTCTGCATTTCACACTTTTTGTTAACTTCAAATTATATCTAATATCGGTCATGCGCTTATAATCTTGGCTGCATCTTTCTTTATTGATATCTATAAAGATTAACCATCTCTTCTTGTAATCTGTAAGATTTATGAATGTGACAATTTCACCATTGGCAAGTTTTCAGGCACAAGCAGCACGTGAAGATAACTTGTGGCTTCTGCGTATAAATGGACATAATGATCACATGCCACTGCGTACTATACACATTGCTGCCATTATGCAGTGTGTGGGAAGGAGAAAAACAAATGGAATCGTTTCAGTTTGTCTGCAATATTCTATGCTATGATGAAGGATCCATTTGTTTGAAGTAAGATGGTAGCTCACTGTTTTGTTTGACCCTATGTTCTATACTTTCGTATGTGGTACAAAATATTCTGATGAGATTCCTATATCACGTCATGTAGGGATGTTGTTGAGGTACACATTGATTTCCATGCAAACATAGGTGGAAAGGAAGAACTGATATGGTTCTCCAGCTTTTACTATTTTTCGCCTTCAAATCTTCAATTCATATACTGTAACACTGAATATAAAGATAGAGATAGAGATATTCAATTGGCCACGTTTTGCTCCATTCAAACTATTTGGTGAGTGATGTGAGTTCTCTTTTTGACATCACTGGATATTGGGAAGCTATACATCGGTGAAACTGTGACTGTGACTCGATTTAGACAGTCACATTTGGCCCATATATAATTATTATTTTCTTCACTGTATGTAATTTCATGCATGGTTTTGTGTGGATAAACTTGCATGTTATTTTGAAAAGGTTAAAACTTCTGTGAGAGGTAAATGCATATGTTGATTTTTATGTAAACTTATTACATTCTTATTTTTAACAAGTATTTATTAAAAATATTTAATAATTTATGTAAATCATTTTTATCTAGTTATTTTGAGGATTAATTTCTTTTGCTAGACAATATGAGTTGGCTTTTTTATTTTCTTATGAATAATATTAACCAGCTCGTTGTAATTGACATCTGCTGAGAAAATCAAACAGTGTTTGTTCAAATTATGTTTCAATGTCTCTTTCGGACAGGATGGATCAAACACAGGAATTAGTGTTTTGAATACACAGTAATTCTGGATTTAGATATCTGAAAAGCAGAGTACAGTTCATAAATAAAGTACAACTTGTAACAATTAGAATTGTAGAAAAATAAATGGCAAGATACGTATCCATCATTGCTTATGTTTTAATCTTGAAAAAAAAATTGATATAAACTTACATTGAAAATAAACAACCAAATGTGTATATACTTCTAATAAAAGGAGAATAAAAGTAATAACAGTTTAAATTAAATAGGAAGTACACATATATTTTATTCGTTTATTTAGAGACAATTTTATATAGGAGAAATGTTGTTATTTTTTATTGTATAATAGAATCAATGAATGGGGGATTAAAGAAAATGTTAGTTTACTATTTCTTTTAAAATATTTAAAATTAGAACATGTTAATATAATATATCTTTATTAAAAAATGTTTTATTGTCAAATTTTCTACCATAATTACATCAAGATATGTATTATTAATATCATAATTTATAAACAAATTATATAATATATTTTGCCTATGCTTTTCGTGATTAAAACATTTATAATGTTTCATACTTTTCTCTAAATTGTAAAATCTGTTTTTTAGTTTTTTAGTTTTTTTTATGGATAACATTATATAAAGTAACCTGAAGAAGATTAAAAAGAAAAAATAAAAAAAGTTGGAGTAGGTGTAATGCTGAGTTCATAACCATTACAGTCTGACAGAAACTACAATCAGCCTCGGAGTTGTCGCTTGCTTGCAGGACAGTGGTAGCATAGAAGCAAGCTTTTCTGTACTACTCACCCTCAATTATTATTAACTACATTTTTTATATGCATTAGTAGAATTATGAAATTAAAGGTGATAAAATTATTATTTTTTAATTTATTGAAATATTCTTTAAGGAGCGTGATAAATTAAATTTGAAAATGAATGATATTTCAAATGAAGTAATGAATCCTAAAAATTATCATATGTTAATTTATAGATAGAAGATAACTCGACAGACAGTAAAATAAATTAATAATTTAAAAATAATTTTGTTTCTTAAGTTAATGTAATGAAAATGTTGGGTGATGGTAATAATAATAGAAAAGTGATGGGTAGGGTTGTGTTTGTGGTACGAATGTTGAGGCTTATCATACTGTGTCAGCCACAGACCAATGAGTATCCAAATTTTGGAAGCAGAGTGTTCTTTCTGAGCAGATTTGGCATTATCATGCTCTGCATTTCTACTTGTCAATAATGCTAGCTACGTCTTCAAGAGCTTTTCGAACTTACTTTTACTTTTACTTTTATTTTACTTTTCTCCTGACACACCAAACTGCCCTATGCTTAATTATAGAGACATAATTCAACAACCTCCTCCAAATAAATTTATTTACTAGTATTTTAATTTCAGAGTTTTACTTCATTAATATACTTTTTTTTCCTTAAGATTAAAGTACTTATCATGATTTGAGGAATAGTATTTTTACATTTATATTCAGTAAAAATATTCAAAATATAATTTATCTAAATATATTCGACTTTATGTCATGTCATGCCATTTATAAAAGAAAATAAAAATAATGAAGCATGGAAGTAGCAGAAAATATGATTTTGGAAGGGAAGTGTTCTTAAAGCGTTTGTGATAGAGTAGATAATTAAAAAATATATAATTATAAAAAAATTAAGTGTAAATTGAAATAAAATAAAAATAAAATTGATTAAATATATTTAAAAAGTCTATAAATTTATTGTCTTAGATCGAATTATTATTAATCTCTATAAAAATCCCCAACCTTATATACTTACTTGCTTCGTTCCTTTCAACTTTTTTTTTATTATTATTATAATAATATTTTTTTGATTTATTTATTATTTTTAAACTTCAGTTAACAACTATTTTTAATCGATTTCATCCTTATTATAAACCAATAAAAGAATGACTGTTAATAAGACTTGTAAAATGATTTGGTTAAAATTTAATAAATTTATGAAATTAAAATAGTTTATAATTAAAATTAGTTTATATCATCAATTAATAACCTATTTTTTCTCTAACATACTATGAATGGCTAATGTTATTCCTCATAAAGTTGATTAATTTTATTTTACAGGACTCTTTTCGTAAGAGTTTTTGTAAAAGAAAAGATATCTAATAAAAAGAATGAGTTTGACATATCTGAAATGAAACATAGATAAAAAACTGAATTAGGGTTTATAAGAAAAATGTGTGGATTTAAATGAAGTTTGTTTTAAAGTTGTATTGTCTGAGAAAGTGCAGAAAATAGAGTAGAGTGGAAGAGGTGGGATTGGCCATGGGGATGGGTACGGTGGTTGGTCTGAGTGAGAGTAATGATTATGATTACGTGTAAGGCATTTGGTCCCCATTTATCGTACGGTGGGACCCACTCTATGCGCTTCCACTTTGCCAGACATGCAACTCCAGGACCGCCTTAGGCCCCATCAACTAGATCTCTTTGTACCTCAATATCTATCTTTTTTTTCTTCTTTTTATAAATTTTATAATTAATTTTTTTATGTATTTTACAAAATTATAATTTTATTCACAACTTTACTCAATTTTTAATTATCTTGAATTTCAATCTTTAAATAATTTTACTTAATTGTCATTTCTAAAAGGTATTCATAAACTTTGTTTAATTTTAAATTTAATTATCTTTTTTTATTACTTTAGACATGATATAATAAAATTAGAACTGCTTTTTTTAATAAAACTAACAAATTTATTTTAGTATGTTTTATAAGAAAACACTTAATTATGAAATAAATAATATTTTAAATATTAAAACATTTACATAAAAAAATGTTGTGTATATAAATTATTTTTGTATCAATTTCTAAACTATTTAAATATTTTTTTTACAATACATAACCGAATTAGACTTATCCATGAAATTATTTAAGTTCCTTTTCTATAATATCATTTTTATTTTTATTAAATCACTTATATATATATATATATATATATATATATATATATATATATATATATTTCCTTTATATCCATGCTTTATTTTCACTCCAATTCAATCTTTTTATTTAAAAGTTTAAATGTCTGGTAAATTTCAAAGAACACTGTATATTACCACCAACTAAACTTTACATCGACCGCAAAATTTAAAATCGCATTCTTGTAAGTATAATCTTTAGCAATCAAAAAAATCCTTGTAACTATTTCACTTCGTTTTGAAATAAAATGTCTTTAATCTTATAAATGATACTACTATATCATAAAATTATATATATATATATATATATATATATATATATATATATATATATATATATATATATATATATATATATATAAAAGTGATTTAATAAATTACTGTTAATAAAATATTGATAACAAAACTTTTTCGAGAGAGATTGAATTGAGTTTTTAAATTTTTTTAATTTCTAATCAATTATTTAAATTTTTTTTCCAAATAATTAATTGTGAAAGAATTATCACAGTTTATAGAAAAATAAGTATAACAGAATGGAAAGAAGAAGAAAAGACACATAAATTTATACCGTTTCAATTCTTCTTGAATCTATATCCAGTTTTAACCAAGCAACCTTAGTCTGGAGTTTTTCACTCAATAGTAGATTTACAATTTAATCAACTGATCTTGATTTTACACCACTCTATAATCAAGACCACAATTCTTAAAAATGATTTACTTCACAATTTTCAAGTTAAGTAGATGTAACTAGCCTCACATATATCAAAACTTAAAAATAAGATACAAAAAGAAAGAGATGAAATGAATTCACCTTAGATTTGCTGAATTATGCACCTATAGCTAAACAACCTTTCTTTGAAATTGTTCTTCAAAATCTTTTGCAAAATTATGATATTTCCTTGATGCCCAAAACGTTCTTTCTAAATATTTTAACTACAAGAAAAAACGCTATTAGCGACCGAAAAAATCAGTTGCTAATGGCCAAAATTCGGTTGTTATTCTGTTAGCGACCAAAATTAGCGACCGAAATGGTTGATCGCAAAAGGGCAAGTCGCTAATTTGTTAGCGACCGATTTACATTTCGGTCGCTAAATAGCGACCGATGAGGTGGTCGCTAAATAATTTGGTCACTTATTCATTGAAGACCAAAATAACGACCGAAATTAATATAATAAATCGGTCGCTAAATCCGTGGTAAAGTTTTAAAAAATAGCGACCGATATATTTGGTCGCTAATATATTAATATAATTATTTAAATAAAAATTAAAATCGGTCGCTAAATTGGAGACAAAGTTAACAATAATAGCGACGGATATAATCGATCGCTAATATATTAATTGAATTATTTAACTAATAATTTAAATCGATCGCTAAATCGGTCGCTAAATTTGAATTGTATATTATAATAAATTTGTAGCGACCAAAAATTCGATCGCAAATCTAACCAAATCTGAAAATTTTCGTTTAAAATTTTGTATATCCAATTTGACAAAATTTGTACCGCTTAATTCATCCAAACATAACACAAATGAAAACTTACGAACTAAAGTCAAATTATTCAAATCATAAAATTTGTACCTGCTTAATTCAT